AGTTGAGCAAATGGGAAATGCAAAGTCCTAATCAAAGCATACCCACATTTGAGTTATCTGCATTATTGCACATTTAAATTTATAATGCATACATACGATTCAATTCAATAGGTATAAAAATGTTAAGTAACATTTTCTCTCATGCATCCCCGTCATTCAGTAGCTCACTTTAGAGTCAACATTTTAATTCTGTTGGGCATCCTTTCATAATTTTGTTTTCTTTTCTTCTTTTTTTTTTTTTTTTTTTGAGACAGAGTCTTGCCCTATTGCCCAGGCTGGGGTGCAATGGCACGATCTCGGCTCATGAGGCACGACCACCACCTCCTGGGTTCAAGCAATTCTCCTGCCTCAGTCTTCTGAATAGCTGGGGTTACAGGTGTGAGCCACCATGCCTGGCTAATGTTTTGTATCTTTTTGTAAAGATGTTTTGTATCTTTAGTAAAGATGAGGTTTCACCATGTTGGCCAGGCTGGTCTCAAACACCTGACCTTGTGATCTGCCCGCCTCGGCCTCTCAAAGTGCTGAGATTATAGGCATGAGTCACCACACCTGGCCTCCTTTTCTTTTTTGATAAGGTCTCACTATGTTGCCCAGGCTGTTCTTGAACTCCTGGGCTCAAGCAATCCTCATCCCTCAGCCTCCCAAAGTGCTGGGATTACAGGCATGAGCCACCACATCTGGTCAAAATTTTTTCTTTTTTTAAGTATTTTATTGTGTATATTTAAGATACACAACATTATGTTATAGGATACATATACATAGTATAAAGTGAAACTAATTAACATCTCTATCATCTCACAGATACCCACATTTTTTGCGTGTGGCAAGGGAAGCTAAAATCTACTCATTTAGCATGAATCATGGCCTTATTATGTATTTTTATATGCCTAAAGTATAGTCTGATTTTGCCTGGTTTTCCTCTTACATAATTGGAGTAATAGTCTGTATCCTGCTATATCTGGCTTCTATTACTCAATATTAAGTATTTAATATTCACATCTAGCATCGGTTCTGCATTCTATTAAAACAGTACACCAGCTAGGTGTGGTGGCTCATGCCTGTAATCCCAGCACTTTGGGAGGCTGAGGCGGGCGGATCATGAGGTCAGGAGATCGAGACCATCCTGGCTAAAGTGGTGAAACACCATCTCTACTAAAAATACAAAAAATTAGCTGGATCTGTAGTCCCAGCTACTTGGGAGGCTGAGGCAGGAGAATCGCTTGAACCCAGGAGGCGGAGGCTGCAGCAAGCCAAGATTGCACCACTGCACTCCAGCCTGGGCAACAGAGTGAGACTCCGTCTCAAAGCAAACAAAGAAACAAAAAACCAAAAATTAGTCAGGAGTGATGGTGCACACCTTTAATCCCAGCTACTCGGGAGGCTGAGGCAGGAGAATCACTTGAACCTGGGAGGTGGAGGTTGCAGTGAGCTGAGATCGCGCCACTGCACTCCAGCCTGGGCAACAGAGTGAGACTCAGTCTCAAAAAACAAACAAACAAACAAAAAAAGAGTACACCAGTTTGTATCCCTTCATGGTTGGTGGACATGTGGGTTGTGTTCATTTTTGTAAGTTATAAATGATGCTGTTGTATTTTTGTATTTCTATTTGGTTACCATTAGTGTGTATTTATGTATGGTATAAAGCAAGAGGTAAAACCATAGGTTACAGGGTAAACGTATCTTCAGCTTTACTAGGTATTATTGGTTTCATCCCAAAGTTAACACACCAACTGACAGTCTTACAATGTCTCATAATTCCCAAATCTTTGCATTCTTGCTGACACTTAATTTTGTCAAAATTTTACTTTGAGTTTTCTGGTGGGTATGTGTCAATGATTGTGATATTAATTTACTGGGCCTTTTCTTCTCTGTAACAGGCCCTGTCAAGATATATGTGTGGTATGGCAGGGGGAGGAGCCCCTAGAGGTAGCAGGGGCTCTGGAATCCTTCATCATCCTATGTGAAAAAGTTTGTGGCAGTGATTTTTTTTTTTTTGAGACAGAGTTTCACTCTTGTTGCCCGGGCTGGAATGCAATGGCACCATCTCAGCTCACTGCAACCTCCGCCTCCCAGGTTCAAGCGATTCTCCTGCCTCAGCCTCCGAAGTAGCTGGGATTACAGGTGTGTGCCACCACACCCAGCTAATTTTTTGTATTTAGTAGAGATGGGGTTTCACCATGTTCGTCAGGCTGGTCTTAAACTCCTGACCTCAGGTCATCCACCTGCCCCAGCCTCCCAAAGTGCTGGGATTACAGGTGTGTGCCACGGTGCCGATATTTCCTGTGTACAGTGGTGTAGCCACGGTGCAAAGCCACTTCCTAATGATTCTGTGATCTAAATATTGTATCTTCTTGCTTCCCTTTGAGATGTGTTCATTCCTCCATACAATTAAACAATCTCAATTACTCTTGAGGGAGCATAAAATCCTCACTGTCTAATCACGGGTCCTTCCAAATTATTTGTTGGCTTGTGTTTAAAATATGAAAAAGATAATGTAGATTTTGTTTTCTTCTTACTGCTTAACCTGAACAAAATGTCATAGATACCTCCTGACCTGTTGCTAAACCAAGGAGAGTCACTTGAATAATGAACAAGACTGGAGGGAAACCACATTGATAATTTATCATTACACTATCATCACATACATGGAACTCATCAATGATGCTTATGAAAAAATTGAGTCATTTGTGGAAAAGTGTAAAGAGAATATAGGTGATGTCTCAACTGAAGACAAAAAGCTACAGTAAATAATTACAAAAAGAGTCTTAAGATGTGAACACAAATTCAGAGATTCAGGAGCACAAAGGGCTAAGTTAAGGGCAAAAAAGGGTTATCAATATTTTCTTAATTATGGAGAGCAGGATGAATTTTTAAAAGGGCAAGTAATTGTGAGTCTGACATATCTGATGATAATTTGTATTTCTAATGTTGTAAATGGTTGTGAATTTATAGTCACCATTCCCATTTCCTTTAGACTAGTGACCAAGAGTTTGATAACAGAAACACACTGGATCAGTATTGTTATCTATGTCTGTTCATCATACTGTGTGTTAAGTCGATCCATTTTTGTCTTGTATTTGTTTTCATTTCATTTTATTTTAGTTTCTTTGGGACAGGGTCTCACTCTGTCGCCCAGGCTGGAAGTGCAGTGGCAGGATCACAGCTCACTGCAGCCTCCACTTCCCTGGGCTCAGGTGATCCTCCTGCCTCAGCCTCCCAAGTAGTGGGGACTACAGGCATATGCTACCCCGCCTGGCTAATTTTTGTATTTTGTAGAGACAGCATTTTGATGTGTTGCTCAGGCTGGTCTCAAACTCCTGGACTCAAGCGATCTGCCTGTCTTGGCCTCCCAAAGTACTGGGATGACAGGCATGCAACACAGCCCCTGGCCTGTTTTAATTTTATTAATTGGCTGATTCATTCAGACACATAATTATCAAGTTAAATCTCACTATTTCCTTAGCATTTCACGTCAATTTAGCTTAGAAAATCTATTCCTAACTCAATATTTTAAAACATATACAATTAGCCAGGTGCGGTGGCACATGCCTGTAATCCCAGCTACTTGGGAGGCTGAGGCAGGAGAAGCACTCAAACCCGGGAGACAGAGGTTGCAGTGAGCCGAGATCGCACGACTGCACTCCAGCCTGGTCAACAGAGCGAGACTCCATCTCAAAAAAAAGCCAAAAACATTTTCTCCAGATCATTTTTACATTTAATTATTCAGTCTGTTTTGACTATGCCTTAAAGAATTAAGTAAATATAACTTCACTTCTACCCACTAATTAGTCAATGTACGTAACACAATTTATTGAATAAACCAGTCCATTCCCAACAGCATCAAAAGTAAGTACATTTCCCAATGTATATTAATACAGCCATTATGGAAAATAATATGGCGATTCATCAGAAACTAAAAATAGAATTACTCTATGTTCCAGCAATCCCACCTGTGGGTGTATAGCTAAAGGAATTGAAATCAGCATGCTGAAGAGAGAACTGCACTACCATATTCACTGCAGCATTATTCTGCATTGGATATGGAAGCAACCTAGGTGTCCAGCATGTTATAAATGGATGAAGAGAATGTTACATATTATATATATAATATCATATACATATATATGTATATATAAAGGAATACTATTCACTTTTTAAAAAGAGGAAAATTAGCCGGGCACAGTGGCTCACACCTGTAAACACAGCACTTTGAGAGGCCAAGGTGAGTGGATCACCTGAGGTCAGGAGTTCGAGACCAGCCAGATCAACATGGTGAAACCCTGTCTCTACTGAAAATACAAAAATTAGCCGATGTAGGGGCGCATGCCTATAATCCCAGATACTTGGGAGGCTGAGACACAAGAATTGCTTGGACTGGGCAGGCAGAGGTTGCAGTGAGCTGAGACTGTGCCACTGCATTCCAGCCCGGGCGACAAGAGTGAAACTCCGTCTCAAGATGGAGTTTTTAAAAAACAAATAAAAGATAGATTTTTAGAAAATAAATAAAAAATAAAAATAAAACGAGGAAAATTCTGTCATCTGTGACAACATGGATAAACCAAGAGGACATTATGCTAAGTGAGAGAAGCCAGGAACAGAAAGACAAATACAAATATCACATAAGTGGTATTTGTGGAATCTAAAAAAGTCTAACTCTTAAGAGGCAGAGAATAGTGTTTACCAGAGACTGAAAAATGGGGGAAAGGGAGATATTAATTAAAGGAGTACAAAATTTCAGTTAGTTAGCAGGAACAAACTTTAGTAATCTATTGCACAGAATAGCAACTACATAAATAATGTGTTGTATGTTTCAAAATTGCTCAAAGAGTAGATTTTAAATGTTTTCACCACAAAAAAGTGAGGTGACAGATTTAATTAGCTTGACTTAATCATTTCACATTGTAAACATAGATCAAAACAGCATATTGTACTCTATCAGTATATAAAACATACAATTAATATTTGTCCATTCTTTAAAAGTTACTTTTCTCATACCTTATAACAAGGCTGGACCTCCTCAGGGGACACAGAGCAGAGTCCCCGCCCTCGGGAGCTCATACCCGATCCCCCACGCTCGCCCTCGCGGCCACACCTTGAACCCCCTCCCCGACCGGCTCTACACTCAACCAGCCCGAGGCTTCCGGCAGCTCCGAGTTCGGATTCCCCTTCTCAGCCTTCTGTGGTCACTGAAACCCTCAGGACTCCGAGGACAAGTCGAACATGGCTTCGCCTCAGCTATCTTCGCCAGCGCAGTAAGTCTCTGTGTCTGCGCACTCCGGGTAGAGGGAAGATTAAACCCTCCGGGAGCCAGCGTCCGACGGTGCCTGCAATCTAACCGGGATTTGGGGTTCCGAGACACTTTTCCCACAAGCCACCGCCGTCATGGATCTTTAGGCTTAAACTACATTTCCCAGAGGGCAACGGGAACACCCAATCTATGGCTTCCTTTCCGTTTTCGCGTGGTTCTTTTGCAAGGTGAGTTGAACTCATTTCAGGATGGGCACAGGGTACTCGCAGGCAGAGCTCTGGGCAATCAAGTTACACTGGAGCCCAACCTAAACCGGCCGGGGTGGTGGAGGAAGCGCTTAAACCGTGGAAGCCTGTAGTTGGATGACCAGTTGTTATCGGAATCTCAGGCCCGTGGGTGCATGAACAGCAGAGGAGGGTATTTGAGTGCGCACGTGAGAGAATGTTGTATATGTCAGATGGAGAATGTTTGAGAGTGTGTGAGAGAGAAACTGTGCGTGTGAGAGGCTGTGATGTGCCTCCTTGACGGTGGGTGCGGTTGTGAGGCTGTGACAGGTGAGTGAGTGGCTGTGCTTGCGTGACGGGGATGTGAGGTGCTTGTCCTTTTCATGTACGTTGATTGCGGTGGCACTGCGGTGTCACTTTGAGTCGTGGCTGTAGGTTCCTGGATGCGTCTTCTCCCCTCTCTCCTCACAGCTGCTTGCGGCTGACACACACACAAAAAATGTCTGCAAGAGGGAAATTGGATACTGAACTCTAAATGAAGTTTTCCAGCAAGAAGGCATTGACTTGCTGTGAGATTGGAAACGCCTGGGAGGTTATTTCTTTGTGAACTCTGAGAGCGAGCTACTTGTCTCAGAACCTCGTCTTTCCCAGGGCTCTGACCCCAGGAACCTGCTGTGAACTCATACCCAGATTCCAGCCTCCCTCCTACCTCCATGTGTTAAAGTGTGTGAACAGGGAAGGTGTGGAGGGTATTGTGTTACGAGGCATTCCGTGCTTCAAGGAAGGACCTGGTAACTCATGATTCTTTTCCCCTTCCTTGGTCCTGCTATTACTCAAAAGGACTCTGATGAGGAGGAAAAAAATTCTTTCACGTCTGAAAATCAATGTTTAGGCTAGTTGGCTTTTTTCTTTCCTAAGATTACTGGTTTTAGGGCATGCTTCCCTTTGTCTAAAATGTGTCTGAATGTCCTAATACCAATCTGCTTTTTTCCCAGTAGATTTTGGGAGCCATTGAGCTGAATCTCATTAACGTTCTTATATTCTGCCGAGTGTGGTGGCTCATGCCTGTAATCGCAGCATTTTGGGAGGCCAAGGCGGGCGGATCACTTGAGGTCAGGAATTCGAGACCAGGCTGGCCAACATGACGAAACCCCATCACTACTAAAAATACAAAAATTAGTCTGGCATGATGGTGCACGGTTGTAATCCCAGCTACTCGGGAGGCTGAGGAAGGAGAGCCCAGGAGGCGGAGGTTGCAGTGAGCCGACATCTTGCCACTGCACTCCAGCCTGGGCTACAGAGCAATACTCTCAAAAAAAAAAAAAAAATCTCATATTCATTTGGCATATCATTCAGATTCTTCCATGTATTCTCATATGGTAAAGAGAACCTAAAAATTCAGTTTAGCATCAAGGACAGCAATCTTCCTCTCTTTACGATTATTGTTGCTGTTACTGATGTAGTTTGAGACAAAGGGGTAACTTATTCTTTTAAGGTTGTAAGAGTATAATGCTTTTCATTTAGCATATTTATATTGTTGAGGCCTAACTTTCTAACATGCGGTTTCACTGTCAGCCAAGATTTTCTCATTGATAGTCTGAGTAAGAAAAGGAAATGATTAAGAAAATAGAATGGAGCTGGGTGTGGTGGCCACTCCTGTAATCCCAGCACTTTGGGAGGCAGAGGAGGGCAGATCACTTGAGGTCAAGAGTTGGAAACCAGCCTGACCAACATGGTAAACCCCGTCTCTACTAAAAATACAAAAATTAGCCAGGCATGGTGGAGGTGCATGCCTGTAATCCCAGCTACTCAGCAGGCTGAGGCAGGAGAATCACTTGAACCTGGGAGGTGGAGGTTGCAGTGAGCCGAGACTGAACCACTGCACTCCTCGTTCTGGTGACAGAGTGAGACTCCATCTCAATTGAAAAGAAAAAAAAAAAAGAAAAGAAACGAAATAGAATGAGAGCTGGGTGCCATGGCTCATACCTGGAATCCCAGCATTTTGGGAGGCTACGGTAGGAGTATCACTTGATTCAGGAATTTGAGACCAGCCTAGGCAACTAAGTAAAACCCTGTCTCTACAAAAACATCAAAAAATTAGCTGGGAGTGATGGTGCACACTTGTAGTCCCAACCACGTGGCAGGCTGAGGCAAGAGGATCCCGTGATCACGCCCAGGAGATTGAGACTGTAGTGAGCTGTGATTGTACCACTGCACTGTAGCCTGGGTGACAGAGCAAGACTCTGTCTCAACCAAGAAAGAAAGAAAGAGAGAAAGAGAGAGAGAGAGAGAGAGAAAGAAGGAAAGAAGGAAAGGAAAGAAAGAAGGAAGAAGAGAGAGGGGAAAGAAAGAAAGAAAAGAAAAAGAAAAGAGAAAGAGAGAAGGAGAGAGAGAAAGAAAAAAGAAAGAGAAAGAAAGGAGAAACAAAGAAGAAGAAAGGAAGGGAGAGAAAGAAAGGGGAAGAAAGAGAAAGAAAGAAGGAAAAGGAAGGAAGGAAGGAAGAAAATAAATCGAATAGGAATGCTGGGCAGTGTTAATGTCCTGCTTCTGGTTTGTGACTATTTTAATATGAGTCTAATCTGCATATATATCTCTTTGTTTTTTATAGCAACAGGTTCTCTGTTGCACAGGCTGGAGTGAGGTGGCACATCATGGCTCACACATTTTTCTTTGACTATACCAGTTGCATAAGATCAAGCATAGAGTAAAAAAGAGTTAGATTTACCTAAGGTTGTGATACAATGAGCCCTTTGTTTCTGTGGGTTCCACATCTATGGATTCAACCAACCACAGACTGAAAGTGTAATTAGGCTTACCTATGATGGTTGTGTCTGTTCTGAACATGTACAGACTTTTTTCCTTGTCATTATTCCCTAAACAACACAGGATAACAACTACTTATATACCATTTATATTTTTTAAGGTATTATAGGTAGTCTAGAGATTATTTAAAGTACAGACACTCCTCAACTTCTGCTGGGGTTGCATCCAGATAAACTCCTAACTCCATTGGAAATCCAGGAACATACTGCATGAGTATAACTTTAACACCGTCCTAAAGTCTAAAAATTGTAAGTTAAACCATTGTAAGTCTGGGACCATCTGTATACAGGAAGATGCATGTAGGTTATATGCAAATACTATACTTTTTTTTTTTGAAACGGAGTCTCGCTCTCGCTGTGTCACTCAGGCTGGAGTGCAGTGGCGCAGTCTTGGCTCACTGCAACCTCTGCCTCCCAGGTTCAAGCAATTCTCCTGCCTCAGCCTCCTGAGTAGCTGGGATTACAGATGCGCGCCACCACACCCAGCTAATTTTTGTGTTTTCAGTAGAGACAGGGTTTCACCATGTTGGTCAGGCTGGTCTCAAACTCCTGACCTCAAGTGATCAGCCTGCCTCGGCCTCCCAAAGTGCTGGGATTACAGTCATGAGCCACCACACCCGGTGAATACTATACCATTTTATATAAGGGACTTTTGTATCCATGGATTTTTGGTATCCATGGGAGTCCTGGAACCAGTCCCCCTCAGATACTGAGAGACAACTGTATTTCAGCAAAAATGAAGCAGAGAAGTTCATGGAGGTGAGGATGTAAGCAAAAGAGTGGTTATAATGTGGGATTATGCTGTATAGGCGTATGTTGGTGATATTGTGGGTTTGGTTCCAGACCACAGAGGTAAAGGCAAGTATCAAAATAAAACTTTGGGAGCCTGAAGCGGGCGGATCACGAGGTCAAGAGATCGATACCATCCTGGCCAACATGGTGAAACCCCGTGTCTACTAAAAATACAAAAATTAGCTGGACATGGTGGCGGGCGCCTGTAGTCCCAGCTACTTGGGAGGCTGAGGCAGGAGAATAGCTTGAACCTGGGTGGTGGAGGTTGCAGTGAGCTGAGATCATGCCACTGCACTCCAGCCTGGTGACAAAGCGAGACTCATCTCAAAAAAAACATAAAAAATAAAAAAAAAAAATAAGATGAGCCTGTTTGGTCTTGCAGTGCATATAAAAGTTATGTTTAAAGTAGTCAATTAAGTGGGCAACGACATTATATCTAAAAAATCTACATACCTACGTTGGGAGGCCGAGACAGACAGATCACTTGAGGCTAGGAGTTCAAGACCATCCTGGCTAACATGGTGAAACCCCGTCTCTACTAAAAATACAAAAATTACCCAGGCATGGTGGTACATGCCTATAATCCCAACTACTCGGGAGGCTGAGACTGAGCCATGAAAATTGCTTGAACCTGGGAGGTGGAGGCTCCGGTGAGCTGAGATCGCACCACTGTACTCCAGCCTGGGCAACAGAGTGAGAGCTTGTCTCAAAAAAAAAAAAAAAAAAAGTGCAACAATGAAGTTTCCTGCATGGATTGACTCTTCCTTTCACAAAATATTTTTCTGTAGCATGCAATGTTGTTTGGTAGCATTTTACCCACAGTAGAACATCTTTCAAAGTTGGAGGCAATCTTCTCAAACCCTGTCGCTGCTTTATCAACTAAGTTAATGTAATATCCAAAATCTTTTGTTGTCATTTCAACAATGTTCAAAGAATCTCCACCGTGAGTAGATTACCATCTCCAGAAACCACTTTTCTTTGCTCAACTATAAGAAGCAACTCCTCATCAGTTCACATATGCTCACCCTCAGGCTCCACTTCTAATTCTCTTGCTATTTCCACCCCATCTGGAGTTCCTTCCTCTGTTGAAGTTTTGAAGCCCTCAAAGTCTTCAAAAAAAAAAGTGAGGGTTGGAATCAACTTCTTCTAAACTCCTGTTAATGTTGACATTTTGACCTCCTCCCATGAATCGCAAATAGTCTTAATGGCATGTAGAGTGGTGAGTTCTTTCCACAAGGTTTTCTATGTACTTTGCCTACATCCATCAGAGGAATCATGATGTATGGCAGCTATAGCCTTATGAAGTGGATTTCTTAAATAATAGACTGAAAATCAAACTTACTGCTTGATCCATGGGCTGCAGAATGGTGGTTGTATTAATAGGCATGAAAAGAACATCAGTGTCCTTGTATATCTCCATCACAGCTCTTGGATGACTTGTGCATTGTCAATGACCAATAATATTAAAAAAGGTATCTTTTTTTCTGAGTAGTAGTAGTGACATGGAAGAAGATGCCATCTGGGACTTTTCATAGCTAGAGAGGAGAAGTCATGGCCATTAAAGAAGTCTGTTTTATCTACATTGAAAAATCTGTTTAGTGTAGCTACCTTTGTCAGTTATGTTAGCTAGATCTTCTGGATGACTTAGAACAGCTGCTACATCAGCTCTTGTTGCTTCACCTTGCACTTTTTTTTTTTTGAGACAGAGTCTCGCTCTGTTGCCCAGGCTGCTGGAGTACAATGACGCGATCTGGGCTCACTGCAACCTTCGCCTCCTGGGTTTAAGCAATTCTCCTGCTTCAGCCTCCAGAGTAGTTGGGATTGCATGTACCTGCTACCACACCAGACTAATTTTTGTATTTTTAGTAGAGATGGGGTTTCACCATGTTGGCCAGACTGGACCTTGGACTTTTATGTTATGGAGATGCCGTCTTTCCTTAAACCTCATGAACCATCCTCCACTAGTCTCAAACTTCTCTTCCACAGTGTCCTCACCTCTCTCAGACTTCACAGAATTGAAGAGAGCTTAGGGCCTTTCTCTGGATTTGGCTTTGGCTTAAGGGAATGATGTGGCTGGTTTGATATTCTATCCAGACCATAACATGTTTTTCATATCAGCAATAAGGCTATTTTATTTTCTTATTCATGTATTCAGTGGAGTAGCACTTTTAATTTGCTTTAAGAACTTTTCCTTTGCATTCACAACTTGGCTACCTGTTTAATTCTAGAGGCCTAGCTTTTGGCCTGTGTTGGCTTTGGACAGAGGACTGATTTAATTTTTTTAAAAATCCAATCATTTAATCAGCAATTTCCATCATCAGCCTTCCCCGAGGGCCAGTGCACCTACCCTACCTCTCCCTACACACAGGCCAGAAACACCAGTCCTTAGCTGACTGTGGGCCTGCACAGTACATTGCCAGCAGGAAATCTCTGAAGTCTTCCAAAAGCCAGTCATTGGAGAGTGGATTGAAAATGCAATGGGAGCAGTTTGAATGTGGGGCTTCCACTGCCACAAAGTTTTCTCTTGAAGACCACATTTTTCAGAGGCTACTGGGGCTAAAATAATCTTGATGTCTCGGGTTTTCCTATGTCCGCATGGTTATTGGGGGCCACATAGTAAGATAGTCATGTCAAAGGGAGAAACCAACACAAGGTAATTTTGGACCTAGATCGATGCCAGACATGAACCTGCAGGGAGAGCAGAGGTTGGGATTTCAGAGCTGCACTAGAGAAGGCCCAGGGCATAGACAGGGTGTTGGTCTTGGCCTCTCATCTGTGCGAGCCTGAGAGGAGAGGGATTGTGTGACTGAGGGTGACCGAGGGTGGAAGTGAGTGTGCAGTATGCATGTCAGTGAGCGCGTGTAACAGGGTAGGGTAGGTGTCCACAACAACCTATGCGGTTGTGACACTGTGAGTGGTGTGTGAATGTGCTCCTGTGACTAGAAAGCCTGGCTTTTATGTGAGTGTGGGTTGTTGGGCTCTGTGTGTGTCACTGAGTTGGTTACCTGCTGGTTCCTCTACCCTCTTAACTTACAGCCATTTGTAGCTTAAAGAAATGGCCCTATCAAAGTCAGATAAAATATTAAGAGAAATCCCTAAAATAAAACATTTTATTTGGGAAAAACAGGATTGCAATTTGGGTGTAAACCTCTGAAGGTTTGCTGCAAGTCAGCTGACAAAAGGCAGATTAATAGGAGAAAAGAAAGACAAATTTATTAACGTGCATGTTAATAACATGCATGACATTCTGGAGGCCCAGACTTGGAACCAGTGTCTGAAGGGTGAGCCAGTCTTGTGGGACTAAGCCCTCAACCTGAGGGATCTGATCCTATCTCCAGGTAGATAGTGTCTGAATTGTATTGGAGGACACCCAGCTGGTTGTCCATTACAGAATTGATTGCTAGCTTGGTGTGTGTGGAAAAACCTCCACGTTTGCTTACGGAAGTCTTCTGTGTTGAGTGTTGTGTAATTGCAGAGGAAAAATCATTTGTGTTTTTTTTCCCACTCAGAGGGCTTTATTAGAAAGAGAAATGTTACCTATTGTTTTGACACAAAACTCATTGGCACTAGTGAAGTTTCGGGGAGCTGGCAATTTCTGGTGAGTGAGGGCGGTAGGTAAAACTAGTCTTAGCATTAGGGCAATTATTTGAGCAACGACTAGGTAAAACTGGTCTTAAGGTTCTAGCAGTCATTTTAATAGCTGATTTGCACGATAATCCCTGGGCAGGTGCTTGCACTATGAATGCTGTGCTTTTCTTCTCCCTAGACTCTGAACTGTGATTTAATTGGGTATGACAATTAAATGACTGTGATTAAATTGGGTATGACAATCCAGTTCATATCATCAATTCTCACAGCCCCAAGAGAGAAGTCACATTTTGAGCTCTAGCATGAAGGTTCCCAGAAATAAAGTATTCATATGAGCTTGGGACGGAAATTTTTAGAGCTGCAGGTACCTCTTAAGCCAAGTTCCTGGGAAGACATCATGGGAAGGCTCCTGGAGTTACACACCCTGGTGGAAGCTCCTCCCTTGGGGCTGTGCAGGGGCAGTATAAGTCTCAGAACCACACCATTCCTACAGCTTTGACCCCAGGAACTGTGAACTCTGTTACAGATTTCAGCCCTCCTCCTATATCCTGTTTTTTTATGTGTTTGTTTGTTTTTGAGATAAAATCTCACTCTGTCACCCAGGGTGTAGTACAGTAGTGCAGTCATGGCCCACTGCAGCCTCAACTTCATCAACTTCATGAACTCAGGTGTTCCTCCTATCTCAGCCTCCCAAGTAGCTGGGACTATAGGTGTGCCACCACACCCAGCTAATTTTTGTGTTTTTTGTAGAGAACGGGTCTTGTTATATTGCCTAGGCTGGTCTTGAACTCCTGGGCTCAAGTGATCCTCCTGCCTTGACCTCCTGAAGTGCTGGGATTACAAGCATGAGTCACCACACCTGGCCTATATCTTGGTTTTGTATGTGACCAACGTTTGGTTGTGATCCAGTTTTCCTCTGCTCCTGCCATTCTCCAAAAGAAACCCAAGAAGGAGGAAAGAACTGTTGCACTACAAAAATAATGAAGGTTAAGAAATATTGTTGATGGCTAAAAAGCAATATTCATGTTGGTTTCTTTCCTTTTGGTTCACAAAAATTTTTATTTTGATGTAAGAACATTGGATTTTCTTTGCCTGAAGTGAACTAGGTAGAGAGTATCTTAGGCCTTCCTTCCCCAGGTGATAACAGAGTTCACTGAGACAACTACACAATGGTTCTTAGGTTCTGTCTCTTCTCTAAGTAATATTCACTTATTCAATTGGCAGATCATTCAAACCATGCAGTTGGGCTGTATTTCAGAAGGAGATTAGTGGGTTTATAGGGAATCATACACCAGAGATCTTAGCTATTCTTTCTCCAGAGGACTAAGAGTCAACAATTGCAGAGTCATCTGCTTGGTGGTATTTTTGGAAGCAGAACTATAATTTGGTATTTGAGGATACAGGTCTGTGTCTACAAGTGGAGAATATGTTGAACATCTCTAAGAAATAATTGTTAGTACTGGTCAGGGATATTTGTGGGCTGGCAGCCTGAGTTTTTCAGACACGTTGTTGTGTGGATTTTGAGAGACAGTGTGGTATGATATTGAAGAGAATGGGCTCTGGGTATCCCAGATTTAGTTTGAATCTCAGCTCTGCCACTTCCTATCTGTATGAGCATAGGCAGTGTGTTCACTCAGGCTCCGAGTTCTACAGCTCTCAGACACATATTATAATAGTACCTACTTCATAGGAGTGTAATGAGAATAAAAATGTAAATCCCATGACAACAGACCCTGGAACATAAGCTAAACAAATATTAAGTCAGGCCAACAGATTGCCTGAACTCAGGAGTTTGAGATCAGCTTGACCAACATGGTGAAACCCTGTCTCTACTAAAAATACAAAAAAGTAGCCAGGCATGGTGGTGTGTGCCTGTAGTCCCAGTTACTTGGGAAGCTGAGATAGGAGGATCACTTGAGTTCGCAAGGTCAAGGCTGCAGTGAGATGTGAGCACCCCACTGCACTGCAGCCTGGATGATGGAAGTGAGACCCCGACTCAAAAAAACAATTTTATTAGGTTCAATCAGACATTTGGCAAGGATTGTATCCAAAATGATATTTGGATTGTATGTTTTGTGAAGGAGATGTCTACATTCACATTTGAGAATCTACTATGTGCAAAACTCTTTTCTGTTTTTTATAATAAAATATAATAAAATAATGCTAATTTCATTTATCTGAATTATGTTCATTCACAGAAAAAAATTTGAATTACACTGATGATACAACTAAAGGCTATCCAAGAAATGGTAGGTGTTACTTATTTCAATCATATTGTTTTTCTATTTCAGGACTAAAGTTCACAGTTTCCTCAATGAGTAGAAAGATTCTCCTTTATAATTTCATTTTAATAAATATCTTAGGTATTATTGGTGCTATGTTTCTAGATAAGAAGTATATCAGCTTTGTGGCAGAAGAATCCAGTAACCTAAAGAATGAAGTAATGAGAAAGTTAAAATTACCCATGCCCTTTCTCCTCCTCCACTTCTACCAGGGTGAATTACTAATTATATTTTGGGGTAGGTTTTTCCAATTTTTATCTGTAAGCATATGTTTTTGGTTTTGTTTTTGCAAAATAAAATCACCTTACTTGATCATATGATTTCCAACCTTAGTTTGAAAAGGAATCCATGGGTTTCATTATCCCTGTGTGCATGTAAGAAGGAGAAGGAGGGCCCGTGGTAACTTATTTTGGCACCTTTGTTGAAAATCAGGTGGATATAAGTGTATGCATTTATTTCTGTGTTCTTTATTCTGCCTTGTCTATGTGTCTGTTTTTGTTCTAGTAACATGCTGTTTTGGTTATTATAGCTTTGCAGTGTATTTTGAAGTCAGATAATATGATGTCACTACCTTTGTTCTTTTTGTTCAAAATGTCTTTGGCTATTCAGGGTCTTTTGTGGTCTCGTATGAATTTTAGAATTGTTTTTTCTATTTCTGTGAAGAATGTCATTGGTAATTTGATAAGGATTGCATTCAATCTGTAGATCACTTTGGGTATCATGGACATTTTAACAATGTTAATTCCTCCAATTCCTGAAAATGTGATCTCTTTCCATTTTTTTGTGGCCTCTTCAATTTCTTTCATCAAAGCTTTATAGATTTTATTGTACTGATCTTTCACCTCCTTTGTTATTCCAGGGCATCTTAAAAAAAAACAAAAACAAAAACTTGTGTAACAATTGTGAATGGGATTGCTTTTCTGATTTCTTTTTCAGGTAGTTTATTAATGGCATATAGAAATGATACTGATTTTTTATTATTATTATTTTTTTTTTTTGGTGAGATTTTTGAGACGGAGTTTTGCTTTTGTTGCCCAGGCAAGAGTGCGATGGCACGATCTCAGCTCACTGCAACCTCCACCTCCTGGGTTCTCAGCCTCCTGAGTAACTGGGACGACAGGCACACACCACCATGCCCGGCTAATTTTGTATTTTTAGTAGAGATGGGGTTTCACAATGTTGACCAGGCTGGTCTCAAACTCCTGACCTCAGGTGATCCACCCGCCTCGGCCTCCCAAAGTGTTGGGATTACAGGCATGAGCCACCACGCCTGGCCATGCTACTGATTTTTATATGTTGATTTTGTATCCTGCAGCTTTAGTGTGTTTGTTAGCTGTAACAGTTTTTGGTGGAGTCTTTATGACTTTCTATATGTAAGTTCATGTTGTCTGCAGACAGGGACAGGGACAGTTTGACTTCCTCCATTGCAATTTGGATTTTCTTTCTTTCTTTTTTTTTTTTGAGATGGAGTCTCGCTCTGTCGCCCAGGCTGGAGTGCAGTGGCGCGATCTCGGCTCACTGCAAGCTCTGCCTCCCGGGTTCATACCATTCTCCTGCCTCAGCCTCCTGAGTAGCTGGGACTACAGGCGTCCGCCACCATGCCCGGCTAATTTTTTGTAGTTTTTTAGTAGAGATGGGGTTTCACTGTGTTAGCCAGGATGGTCTCCATCTCCTGACCTCGTGATCTGCCCACCTCGGCCTCCCAAAGTGCTGGGACTGCAGGCCCGAGCCACCATGCCCAGCCGTCTTTTATTTCTTTCTCTTGCCTAATTGCTCTGCCTGGGACTTCCAGTACTATGCTGAATAAAAGTGGTGAAAATGGGCATCCTTGTCTTGTTCCAGATCTTAGAGAAAAGCCTTCAGCTTTTTCCCATTCAGTATGATGTTAGCTGTGAGTTTGTCATATATGGATTTTTGTCATATACATGTGTTGAGGTATGTTCTTTCTATATGTAGTTTGTTGAAAAGGGCCCATAATCGTCTCACTTGAAAAACCTAAATATTTTTACCTTTTAGAATCATAGATTTATCAGTTAAAATTAATTACCAGGAAAAGAAATGATCAACTAAAATAGCATTTTGGGATTCAATGTTTAAAAAGAGTTCAGCTGAATATCCCTGATGAACATCGATGCAAAAATCCTCAATAAAATACTGGCAAACCGGATTCAGCAGCACATCAAAAAGCTTATCCACCATGATCAAGTGGGCTTCATCCCTGGGATGCAAGGCTGGTTCAACATTCGCAAATCAATAAACATAATCCAGCATATAAACAGAACCAAAGACAAGAACCACATGATTATCTCAATAGATGCAGAAAAGGCTTTTGACCAAATTCAACAGCCCTTCATGCTAAAAACGCTCAATAAATTCGGTGTTGATGGAACGTACCTCAAAATAATAAGAGCTATTTATGACAAACCCACAGCCAATATCATACTGAATGGGCAAAAACTGGAAAAATTGGCCGGGCGCGGTGGCTCAAGCCTGTAATCCCAGCACTTTGGGAGGCCGAGACGGGCGGATCACGAGGTCGGGAGATCGAGACCATCCTGGTTAACACGGTGAAACCCCGTCTCTACTAAAAAATACAAAAAACTAGCCAGGCGAGGTAGCGGGCGCCTGTAGTCCCAGCTACTCGGGAGGCTGAGGCAGGAGAATGGCGTGAACCCGGGAGGCGGAGCTTGCAGTGAGCTGAGATCCGGCCACTGCACTCCAGCCTGGGTGACAGAGCTAGACTCCATCTCAAAAAAAAAAAAAAAAAAAAAAAAAAAAAAAAAAAAAAACTGGAAAAATTCCCTTTGAAAACTGGCACAAGACAGGGATGCCCTCTCTCACCATATTCAACATAGTGTTGGAAGTTCTGGCTAGGGCAATCAGGCAAGAGAAAGAAATCAAGGGTATTCAGTTAGGAAAAGAAGAAGTCAAATTGTCCCTCTTTGCAGATGACATGATTGTATATTTAGAAAACCCCATTGTCTCAGCCCAAAATCTCCTTAAGCTGATAAGCAACTTCAGCAAAGTGTCAGGATACAAAATTGATGTGCAAAAATCACAAGCATTCTTTTACACCAGTAACAGACAAACAGAGAGCCAAATCATGAATGAACTTCCATTCACAATTGCTTCAAAGAGAATAAAATACCTAGGAATCCAACTTACAAGGGATGTAAAGGACCTCTTCAAGGAGAACTACAAACCACTGCTCAGTGAAATAAAAGAGGACACAAACAAATGGAAGAACATACCATGCTCATGGATAGGAAGAATCAATATCGTGAAAATGGCCATACTGCCCAAGGTTATTTATAGATTCAGTGCCATTCCCATCAAGCTACCAATGAGTTTCTTCACAGAATTGGACAAAACTGCTTTAAAGTTCATATGGAACCAAAAAAGAGCCCGCATCTCCAAGACAATCCTAAGTCAAAAGAACAAAGCTGGAGGCATCACGCTACCTGACTTCAAACTATACTACAAGGCTACAGTAACCAAAACAGCATAGTACTGGTACCAAAACAGAGATATAGACCAATGGAACAGAACAGAGTCCTCAGAAATAATACCACACATCTACAGCCATCTGATCTTTGACAAACCTGAGAGAAACAAGAAATGGGGAAAGGATTCCCTATTTAATAAATGGTGCTGGGAAAATTGGCTAGCCATAAGTAGAAAGCTGAAACTGGATCCTTTCCTTAGTCCTTATACGAAAATTAATTCAAGATGGATTAGAGACTTAAATGTTAGACCTAATACCATAAAAACCCTAGAGGAAAACCTAGGTAGTACCATTCAGGACATAGGCATGGGCAAAGACTTCATGTCTAAAACACCAAAAGCAACGGCAGCAAAAGCCAAAATTGACAAATGGGATCTAATTAAACTAAAGAGCTTCTGCACAGCAAAAGAAACTACCATCAGAGTGAACAGGCAACCTACAGAATGGGAGAAAATTTTTGCAATCTACTCATCTGACAAAGGGCTAATATCCAGAACCTACAAATAACTCAAACAAATTTACAAGAAAAAAACAACTCCATCAAAAAGTGGGCAAAGGATATGAACAGACATTTCTCAAAAGAAGACATTCATACAGCCAACAGACACAAGAAAAAATGCTCATCATCACTGGCCATCAGAGAAATGCAAATCAAAACCACAATGAGATACCATCTCACACCAGTTAGAATGGCGATCATTAAAAAGTCAGGAAACAACAGGTGCTGGAGAGGATGTGGAGAAATAGGAACACTTTTACACTGTTGGTGGGATTGTAAACTAGTTCAACCATTATGGAAAACAGTATGGCGATTCCTCAAGGATCTAGAACTAGATGTACCATATGACCCAGCCATCCCATTACTGGGTATATACCCAAAGGATTATAAATCATGCTGCTATGAAGACACATGCACATGTATGTTTATTGCAGCACTGTTCACAATAGCAAAGACTTGGAATCAACCCAAATGTCCATCAGTGACAGACTGGATTAAGAAAATGTGGCACATATACACCATGGAATACTATGCAGCCATAAAAAAGGATGATTTTGTGTCCTTTGTAGGGACATGGATGCAGCTGGAAACCATCATTCTCAGCAAACTATCGCAAGAACAGAAAACCAAACACCTCATGTTCTCACTCATAGGTGGGAACTGAACAATGAGATCACTTGGACTCGGGAAGGGGAACATCACACACCGGGGCCTATCATGGGGAGGGGGGAGGGGGGAGGGATTGCACTGGGAGTTATACCTGATGTAAATGACGAGTTGATGGGTGCTGACGAGTTGATGGGTGCAGCACACCAACATGGCACAAGTATACATATGTAACAAACCTGCATGTTATGCACATGTACCCTAGAACTTAAAGTATAATAATAATTAAAAAAAAAAAAAAAAAGAGTTTAGCTGGGCTTATGCCTGTCATCTCAGCACTTTGGGAGGCTGAGGCGG